AAAAAAGAGGAGAAAGTAATTTGAAAATCACTGATTTTGTCCTGTGCCCTCATTGTACACAAAAGGAAAGAAGATCCAAGGAGGAGAGGGGATGTTCCCCAAGGTCACAAAGCTTAGTGTCAGTGTAGAAAGACCCTGAACCCTGGGCACACTTTTCAGAGGGAGGGAAAAAAAAGGTAGATTATTTGGAATGAAGAGCTGAGGGTTTGAAGGTGACTTAGCAGGCCCGAAAATCCCCCAGATCACATGGCCAGTGGGGGGGGGTGACATCACATACCACTTGTGCCAGCCTTCCTGGGGGTGGGAACCAGGAGGGAACCAGAAGGGATCCAGAGAGAGTCCCCAACAGCCTGACCATGGAGTCCACAGTCACAGACACACACATACAGCCCCACACTCTTGGTTAATCCCCACCCCCAAACTCCTGCCTAGCCCCTGACTATGATCTCTGTGAATATTGTCTCCTTAGGCCATGGAGGGCTGAACCAGCTAGGAGGGGCCTTTGTGAATGGCAGACCTCTGCCAGAAGTGGTCCGCCAACGTATCGTAGACCTGGCCCACCAAGGAGTGAGGCCCTGTGACATCTCTCGCCAGCTCCGTGTCAGCCATGGCTGTGTCAGCAAGATCCTTGGCAGGTAAGCACGAAATTCACCACACACCACCTTCACTATAGGGCTTGCCTTCTCCACAGAACTCATGCAGCATGACCACCTTCCCCTCTCCCCCAGGGACTGGGGATTTGCTCCCAAAGTCCAGCTTTGTTGCCAAGACCTAAACAAGGGTGCGGAGGGACTTTAGGGCCTCTTCCCGTCCACTGCTCTTCTGTCGTTTTCCACCATTTTCCCCTACTTTGTCAATTTCACCTTCCTTTAGTTTCTCACTCTCCCTTCTCCTTTGCTCCCTGTCTCATTTGCTACAGATTTCTCTGCCCCTGAGGCAGGAGAATCTTCCACAAAAGTCCTCCCCCACTGAGTCAACCTAGGAAGATAAAAGCAATAGGGAAGGGACATAGAGTCAGACACACGCGGCTCCCAGAGTCTCTCTGACCCCTGCCAGAAGGATGCCTAAGTTTGTGCTGCTTAAATTATAATTCCCAAGCCACCTTCAACAGAAGCAACAGGCTTGTGTGATGAAGTGCAGATTCCTAGGCCCCTGCCCAGACCTCCTGAATCACCCTGACCAGAGACCAGGCCCAGATGCTGTGGTTCTTATGAGATGACCAGGGAACACTTTAAGGAGTGGCAACCAGTGACCTACAAGGGTCACCTGAGAATAGTGTTTCACAGCCCTGGTTGAGAATCCTTTGGACAGCATTGATCAAAAAGAAAAATTATTTATGCTTTAGCCCAGGTCAATTAAATTAGAGGAATCAATTAAATTAAAGGAATAGGCTCAAGTGTGAGGATATTGCTAAGCCTCCCTTCCTGCCAAGTGATTTTAATTCTCCTCAGCCAGGGTTGAGAACCATTGACTCAAAGGTTCAGGAGGGGCTGGGAGGTACAAAGGCCTGCCTCAGAGCTGACGTGGCCACATATTCCAGTCTGGAGAGACTCTTCTGTCAGAAGTGCACCCGTGCCAAAGCTTGAGTCAGCTCCATGTACGTGCACCTGTCCCCCTCCTCTGAATCATAGTGGATTTAACAGGAGTCCTGCCTGGACCATTCATTGAACCATGAAAAGCCCTGGCTCTCTGCCTGACGTTGTTAGAAGAAAGTGTGGCACAGAGAGGGGACTTCTGAGATGGTTGCGGTGTCCCAGAGGGGACACAAGCCCTTGTCAAATGAATGGAGTTTTAAAGAGCCAGATTGTTTTTCATGACAGAGAGACAGAGTTTCTACAAGGAGGGGAAAATATCCATGGACCTGCCAAAGCTGCTAGCTGGGGGCTAGAAGGAGGGGAGGAGGGGAGACCCTGCAAGAAGAGACTCAGCTTAACAGGCTGACATTCCAGAGCCCACAAGGAGCAGCTTTAACCTGAACCACATAACTTAGTAGAAAACCAACAACCAGAGAGTAAGGGATATGGCTTAAGCTTGGACACAGCAAGGAGCAAAAGTGAACCAGCAAGACAGAGAAGCAGGCCCGGTGACCGAAGCTGGCTTCCCCGGTAGCCAAGGAGGAAAGCTGACCAGTCATGGTTTAGCCAAGAGAAGCTGGATGTAGCCAACTGCCACCGTGAACCTATCTCTCACACAGCACATAGGCTAAGATTTCCTTTCTCAGAAGGTGGGTCTTTTGTGCCCCATATGATACCTTCTGCAGGTGCTGGGACACAGCAGACTGATCAGAGGAAAGGGAAGGAGAGAAGCCAAGGTGAGGCCTTTATGGAGGGTTCTGGTTTGGCAGCAGCATGAGCCTGTCCAAGTGAGAGACACGGACAGTTCTGGGAACATCAAGTATTTGAGGCCAGCCTTAGGAGCACATTTCACCCCCCCAGACCCCTCACCAAAAGCCTCAGGGGCCAGAGAAGCCCTGACTGAGTCCCTGTCCAAAGACTCCACCTGCTTATTGGGTAATTTTGGGGGGTTCTCTATTGGAGTAGGTACTACGAGACTGGCAGCATCCGGCCTGGAGTGATAGGGGGCTCCAAGCCCAAGGTGGCCACCCCCAAGGTGGTGGAGAAGATTGGGGACTACAAGCGACAGAACCCCACCATGTTTGCCTGGGAGATCCGAGACCGGCTCCTGGCTGAGGGCGTCTGTGACAATGACACTGTACCCAGTGTCAGCTCCATTAACAGGTGAGTCTCTGAAATCAGCTAGGGCCCCTGGGCATTGGGGCATCTCAAAAAAGACCAGAGAAGGGCCTAGCTTGGGTGTAGCCAGGGCTGGGAAGGGGCTTCATACTGAAGAATCAGTCTGGGAGCATCCTGATCCTGTACCAGGCAGCATCACACCTCCCTGCCCCTCATCCATCCCATTCTGTGGGGCACCCTCCCAGCCCTTACTATGAAACCTGATAAAAAACCAGCTTTCAGGATAAGAAACTGTGCTGTCTACAGTTTCCTTCCTCAAACACCAGATCCTCTTTCATTCAATAAAAGAATCTTCTTGAATTGATTCTTTTATGAGCCACAAGACCCCTAACCTGGCCAAATTCAAGCATTCACCCATTTGTTTAGGCCTTCAATTATTCGCTCTCAATCATTTACTGAACACTCATTTCTTCATTAATTTGTTCACACATAATTCGCTCTTTCACCATATGCTAGGCCCTGGAACACACATTCCTATCTTTGCATAGCTTATCATCTAATGAGAACACAAACACTAATCAAGTACCCATAGAAAACACTGTAAAAATGCAGCTCTAATTCCTGCTAAGGAGAGGGACATGAGGGTGTGTGAACTAGCATAGGGTGCCTTGCTTCAGGGTTATGAAAGGCTTCCTCTAAGAAATAAGGAGAAAAAGTTAACTAGATGAGAGGAGCAAAAAAAGATCCCAGGCAGCACATGCAAAGGCCCTGTGGCTAACATAATTTTACACAGAAAGCCGAAAGAAAGCCAGTATAGAGATAAGGGGGGCATGAGGTAGACTGAGGTTGGCCATGTCAGTAGGCTGCACTGCAGGAGCTGGGGGCCGAGTAACATATTCTTGTCTTCAGTCTATGAGCAATGGGAAGCCCTTGGCAGATGGCTGAGTGGCCTTTCAGAAAGTTCACTCTGACTGCGCTGAGGGAACCAATTACAAAGGGTCAAGAGTGAATGGGGTGAACCAGGGAGTGACCCTTGAGGGAGAAAGCTGGTAGTGGCATGCACTAAGGTATTGACGGTGATATGCAGAGAGGGGTCAACATTGGTGAGGTTTACAAGGACACAGAACTCAATGACAGGTTTGATAGGAAGGTAAGAGAAGGAGGCAGATGATTGCCCCATTTGGATTTCTGCCTTGAGTGATTGGTGGTTCCAATCATGAAATGGGGACACCAGAGAAGACCAGATGTGAGAGTGAGGAAACTGAGTTTGAGGTGCTTTGAGATACCAGAGTGGGGTGTCAAAGAAGTGACTGGATCTGGAGCAGCCATGAATCCTCTCTCCTCCTCTTCTCTCACGGCCTTTCTTCTCTTCCCTTCAGAATCATCCGGACCAAAGTGCAGCAACCATTCAACCTCCCCATGGACAGCTGTGTGGCCACCAAGTCCCTTAGCCCAGGACACACACTGAGTGAGTGCTGAGGGCCCCAGGACACATCCAGCCCCTTCTACATACCCACATACACACAGGACACACAGCTGGCCTGGGTCCCAGGGAAGAGTTCCTGAGGCACTGAGAAGTGGGAGCCCTTCAGATGGCATTGACTCCAAGACTCCCCGTGGCCTCCAGCCTCTCTAGGGCTCAGTCCATGGCATGGCTTGACACCTCCTCCATGAAGGCAGCAGGGACAGTGAGGGGTGTCTCTCCCACATTCTGACCCTCTGCCTTTCACCTCTCCACAGTCCCCAGCTCGGCAGTCACGCCCCCGGAGTCACCCCAGTCGGATTCCCTGGGCTCAACCTATTCCATCAACGGGCTCCTGGGGATTGCTCAGCCTGGTAGCGACAGCAAGAGGAAAATGGATGACAGTGAGTGTTGGGGACAGGGGGATAGTTTGGGGGTGCAGAAGAGCAGTTTGCTCAGGCTTTAAGGGGACAGATGCCCTTATGGCTCTGGACTTTATAGGGGCTCTGAAAACCTCCCTGAATCACCCACACTCTCAGCTGGCCAAGGCCCTGGGCCCAGGGCGTCTTGCCCTTTCCCTACCTCCAGGTGACAGTCTGTCCTCTACTTTGGCCTGGGGGATGAGTAGATGGGTCCACTGAAAGCTTTCTCCCTGCCTGGGGCCACCAGGTGACCAGGACAGCTGCCGGCTGAGCATCGACTCTCAGAGCAGCAGTACCGGGCCCCGAAAGCACCTTCGCACGGACGCCTTCAGCCAGCATCACCTTGAGCCCCTCGAGTGCCCATTTGAGCGGCAGCACTACCCGGAGGCCTACGCCTCCCCCAGCCACACCAAAGGAGAGCAGGTGAGAAGCCAGGCTGAGAGGTGAGCTGGGTTGGGCAGGTAGAGGTCAGAGCAAAATGTGCCCTCCTGATAAGCCTGCAGTCCAGCCACCAGAACAGCTAGAATTCACTTTGTGGGCTCAGGGCACAGGCTTCTGCAGCTCCAAGCCCAACACACACTTTATTTTATTACCCTGGCATCGTCCTCATCTCCCAATCCTCTTGGCCTCCCTCACCCAAAACCTTTGAGCTTTGAGCCTGGCCCTTTCAGGGAGGGCAACGCAACCTGGCAGTGCCACCCCCTTGCCATCAGCATCTTCTGCAGACTGCAGGGTCAGGCCTCACAAGTCTAAAGTGGTAGCATGAAGTCTTCAAAGTCTTCACATGATGACCTCAGCCACCACTTCCTTGTCCCCCTCCGGCACTCACCCTGCACACCCCAAGGCTCTGCATTACTCATGCCCCTGAGCACGCTGCCCTCATTCACACCTCTCTGCCCTGCACACCATGTGCCCTCTTCACTGCGTGCCTTTCCTCCCACTTCTCTACCTGGAAAAATACCACAGCCAGCATGACTCAGCTCTAACATCACCCTCTCCGAGAATCCATCCCTGCCCCTCTGACATGAGTGGCCTCTCTGGCCCCATCTGTGTTCTGTTCTGCATGTCCCCAAACCACCCCTAATGGCTTCTCACAGCGTATCCTAATGACTTAGCAGACAGGTGTAAAGATATGCAGATTTCTTAAGGATAGGGAAGCCTCATGAGACTTGAAACATCGTGGCTTTTTTTTTTATTATTATTAAGTCATAAACACACAGGTCATGTATACATTAATGCATTTATGGGGTACAATGTGCTGATTTCATATACAATTTGGAATGCTTACATTGAACTAGTATATCCCGCATGGCTCTTTATCCTCAGCATCTAACGTGGTACCCTCTCCTAACAGATACTCAGCAAAGGGACACTGAATGAATGAACAAACGAATGAGTTGAGAAATCCAGGACAATCAATCACAAGCTATAGGGAATTGTTTTTTCCAGTGCTTGGGACAGGTGAAATAATTATAATGGGCTGCGTCTGTGAAAAGTTGACAGAGACATAAGAGGCCCCTCCCTGAGGCCAGCACAGGCTCTAGTACTCTGAAGGAACTGAGCCCTCAGTCTACAGTGGTGATGTCCTCCTGCCCTCACCCCACTAAGTCACCAACTTAAGATCATCTTTAGGGTGGCGTCTGCCTGCCCCTCTTTGCTCACCTCACGCTGTCATTTGATCTAGGAGTGAGGTGAGCGTATATGCCTGTAACATCTGAGTGGGACCACAGTAACAATGCCAATAATCAGCTGAACCACCGCCAATGGCCATCTGGGCTGCTGGCCCTCTGCCAGTGCCCGCAGCTGGGCAGGCAATCTGCGTCAGCGATTTTATCAGCTTGAACTGTGGCAACCACGAGGGTGCAGGGGAAGCCAGCCGTCAGCAGACCTGGGGAGAGAGCCTGGGTGCTCCTCCGAGAGTCAGCAAATGGCTCCAGGAGGGAAGGGGACATAGCGGTGGGCCTGCAGGAAGCCTGCTGTGTGAGGTGAACCTGCAAAACCCATGTGCAAGCACCAGCCACCCTGTGAGAGCAAAGAAGCCTTACTGATGAGCCCCTTGGCACCTACTGGGTCCCAGAGCCATTTCCTTGGATCCATTCCCTAAGCCCCACAAAGCACCCTGCTTGGCTGAGAGCCCCTGTGCCCTGCTGGCAAACACTTGTGGGGAATCCTGGAATGAGAGAGTCCTAGGGCTAGCAAGGACCTTGGTAACCACCTAGTCCAGTGTCTCCAAATGCGTAGAAATAACCCAGGCCCAAGGAGGATGGGGGGGGGGTGGCTCAGGGAAGCAGATGGATGGCTGTGGAGCTCGGGCCTCTGGTCCTAGTTTCATTCAGACTGGCCTACTGCCACCTGTTTTAGATATGAGGCTTCTATGTATGTCCTATTTTATGACTGCAACACAGCATTTGGAAACTATTGAACTGTTCCCACTGTTCATCCTACAGATGAGGAAACTGAGGCCCAGCACAGTGCCGATAAATTACCCATTTCCTTGCTCCATTAATCACGCACTTATTCACTACCCTGGCATGGTGGGGAGGGGCCGGGAGAACCAGCCTAAACCGAGGGCCCCTTGTGTCCCAGCCCTTGTCTTTCCTACCTTTGGTGACTGACTGTGCTGCCAAAGGAACACTCTGTGCTCTCTCACCTGGGCACGGGAAGGCCCTCTGGCCTGGGAGCCAAGAGAGAAGCACAAGTACACACTGGCCTGAGGATGGGGCATGGACAGAGCCATCCCTTTTATAAAGTCAACATGGGAGAAAGTGGTCAACAGAAACATCATGTGACCTCATTCCTGGTTGCTATTTCACTATGGGACATAGTCAAGAGTGTACCAAGAAGCCTATGAAAAGAATGTGATATTATGGCTGAGACCAAGAATTTGGAAGCTTCCCACTCTTCCCATAATTCTGAAATAATAATACCTATGACAGACAATTACTTATTGTACCTCTGTTGTTATCAGTCTGTAAGTATATCAAATTTCAGCTGGACACAGTGGCTCATGCCTATAATCCTAGCACTTTGGGAGACCAAGGAGGGAGGACTGCTTGAGCTCAAAAGTTAGAAGCCAGTCTGAACAACAGCAAGAACCCATCTCTACTAAAAATATAAAATTAGCCAGACCTCATGGTGTACACCTGTAGTCCCAGATACTTGGGAGGCTGAGGCAGGATGATCGCTTGAGCCCAGGAGTTTGAGGTTGCAGTGAGCTATAATGATGTCACTGTACTCTATCCAGGGTAAAAAAGCAAGACTCTGTCTAAAAAAAAAAAGGTCTCATTTAATGCTTGCATTAGCCTACAGGTAAGAAAATCAAGTCTTAGTGAGGTCCAAGCAGACTAAAGCTATGTGGCAGGTCATCACGGAACCAAAGCTCTAACTCGCTGCTGTCCCCAATTCAAACTCAATCCCAGTAAAAAAAAAAAAAAAGAAAAAAAAAAAACCAGTCATCACAAGATGGTTAAGCCATTTGATATAAAATAGCCAAAATGTTTGACAATATTTTTATCTTTTTTTTTCACGAAGTTGCCTAGATTTTGGAAGTTATACGTTTCTGAGTAGATACTTTGCTAGGCAATCAACATATCCATGAGGGGTTTTAAACTTTTCTTACGCTTTCCAGAAATTAGGTATTTTGTTCAATTTCATTAAGCTGAGCTCTAAGGAACTCCACCCTGCCTCTAAGTGGGACTCCTCAAAAGACATGGAACCAGAGCACCATTTAGTCAGTAATTGCCGCTACACACTAATGGTGCCCTGGTGGCCTCCAGAATTGACTTTGAGCTTCCAAAAGTGCCCGGCATGCAACCGGAAAGTGCTGTGGCTCTTTGGAGAACCCAGCTCCATGGAAATCACTGAAAACAACTGCCTTTAGTGCAGCTTACATAACCACAGAGCATTCCCTGATTTTAGTCGTGCACAATCTTTCCCATGGTGGGTGTGTGCCATGCATGACTCTATGTAGGGAACAAGTGTATGTTTGTGCTGTCTTGTGCCCTGGTGGGAAGGAGCCATTGTGAGGGGATAGGGTACATTTGCCTTTAGTTAAATTCTTTTTGGAAGGAGCATCCAAGGCCATAGCTGTGCTCATGCCAGCACTTGATAAAGAATATTTCCAACAAAATCAACTCAAGTATCATTTTTAAGCTGAACCTGCATGCTTCTATTTGTTTGGATATAGAATGAGAGAAGAAATTCACCTGCTCTGGGGGGCAGAGTACCTGAGGCAGCATACAAAGAAGTGGGTTTAGTCTCAATTTCATTATACAGTCCTGGGCCATTTACCCTTCCAGGTTTCAGGCTCCACATAGAAACTAGACATTATGCTCATGTCACATGGCTGCTGAGGGATTCTATCTGGGTAACAGAGGCTCATTGCTAATGTAAGAAGTGGTCATTATATTTTCCCCGATTAGGATAGTGATTGAGAGAAGGACCACTGGGGCCTGACCCCTCGTCTGAATCCTGGAATCCTGTCTCTGCCCTATATGGATGTGTGGCAAGTTTCTTAACCTCTCTGAGCCTGTGTTCCCTATCTGGAGAGGAATTCATGAATTAGTAGAGTGTAAGGCACTCAGAAGTGAAGTCACCCAACAGGACTGCTCCAGCCCTTGGCACCTTCCTGTACTCGGTGGGGAGGCAGGAAGGAGACCAGCCATCCAGCCTGGGCATGGTCCTCCGGGGGTCGGGGGACACTCTCCATCCCATGCCTGTGCTCCCGTGCCACCAGCCCGCCTTAAATCCCAGGGATGTGGGGAGATGGGGACAGCTGAAACACAGCCACCAGTTAAGAATGTACAGTAAGAAGAGGATGATGATGAAAGGCACTTTTCCTGGGGAGATTAAGGCCACCAACTGCTAGGACAGGCTGCAGGGCCTGTAGGAAGGCTTGCCTGCCCAGGGACTTCTCTGTGCGCTGACTTCTCTTTTTTCCCCAGGGACTCTATCCGCTGCCCTTGCTCAACAGTGCCCTGGACGATGGGAAAGCCACCCTGACCCCTTCCAATACGCCCTTGGGGCGCAACCTCTCAACTCACCAGACCTATCCTGTGGTGGCAGGTATGACGCCAGAGTCTCCCGGACCAGCTGGCCCCAACTGTGAGGGCAGGGTGGAGGGCCGGGGAAGGCAGAGCTTGGCTGGCCATTAGGAGGAAGGTGTCTGGGGCCCTGGTCTGGAGAGGAGAGGCCGGCTGTGTCGGAGGGGCCTTCAGGTGGGTCAAGGGGGTCCAGCCTTCAACCCTTGGCCGCTCCTGGGACCCCTCGCTCCCTCCTGAGGAGAGCAGATTCGAGGCACACGCGCGCACAGCCCCACCTGCACTGCTAAAAGGCACAGCAGGGAGGCAGAGCGTCTCTCTTCCCCAACTGAGGCCCACCTCTCGCCCTCGCGCCCTGGCTCCCCGCAGGACCCTGAGAGCAGCCGAGACTGCCGGCCCCGCGCCGCCCGCACCCTCCCGCATCTCATGGCTTGGTTTGTGCATGTGCCCGCCCCGTCATCTCACACCCCTCTCTCCTTGTTGTCTCCCTCCCTCTGGCAGATCCTCATTCACCCTTCGCCATAAAGCAGGAAACCCCCGAGGTGTCCAGTTCTAGCTCCACCCCTTCCTCTTTATCTAGCTCCGCCTTTTTGGATCTGCAGCAAGTCGGCTCCGGGGTCCCAGCCGGTGCCTCGGTCCCGCCCTTCAATGCCTTTCCCCATGCTGCCTCCGTGTACGGGCAGTTCACGGGCCAGGCCCTCCTCTCAGGTACGACAGGGAGGTCCCGGGCTATGCAGGTTTGCGGGGGGCGGGAGGGGGATCCTAAGACCAGCGCCTGGACCCTCTCCCTTCTCTCTCCTCCCTGGCCCCGATGATCTTATCCGCCACCACTCTATTGTCTAATTGGTCCGGCAACTTTTGGAAGTTCTCCACAGGCCTTGGGAGGGGCAAGCGCTCTGAGGGTGCCAGGAAGTGGGGTATATCACCCAAAGAGTCCATGGAAGAGCAGGGACCCAGGAGCCAGGAGTAGTAAAGTAGAAATACTTCATCTTGGTAAAAAATAAAATAAAAAAGAAGGAAAAACGAAGAAAACTTTGGAAGGAAAAAGATATTGGCTTTTGGAGCCAACCTCAGGATCAAATTTCAAAGGACAGAGTTCAGTCCTAGTTATGTCTCCATAATGTAGCTATCTTTGTGCCCAGCTTAACAGCATCACCCATGAAGGACAAACATCTTTTAAACACTGTACACCCAGAGTGATTCAACAGCTTGAGAGCTGGGGAGTGGGGGACCTCCCATCAAAATTTAAAACTACAAGTGCCTTGTGGGGCATTCTGAGCAAACCTCAGGATACAGACCCAGAGAGGAGAAAGGCCTGGCTAAGGTCTCTGGCTAGGAGCATAGTGTCAAACAGGGACAGACCTTGGGTGGATCTGGGGCTCCTTAGCAGAAGAATGTCAGCCCACCCAGCCAGGGCATGAGCAACAGCTGAAAAAATCAAGTCTTTGCTTTGGACAGAAGTCCTGAGTGCAGTGAGGGTGGGAGCAGGGGCCCATAACTGTGATCTCATGTATCAAGGGCCTCCACAGGAATGAGACTAGTTTAGATTTGGGCTCAAGGGGAGGGAGCAGGACCAATGGAGGAAGCCAGCTGTCTCAGGTCAGCACTGGAAAAATTTCCTTAACCTTAGTGCTGTCTCTTAGGGGTATAGGTATTCAGTGACAGAGTGAATGCCTCCCCACTGCCCTGCCCCTCCATCATGCAACTACATTGAGATACTAGGGCAGAGACCAGTGGGAGGGTGGCAGGGACCTGTCACAGAAACAGCCCAGAGTCAGACAGTGCATCTAGACCCATGGTTTTCAAATTTTCTGGGCCTCTCAATGCTTCTGTAAAGTAAAAGCCTTTATAGAAGCCATGTGTCCTCACCAGATCGCTGAAGATCTGCTATGTTTGAAGGAGGGGCCCTGCCACCAGAAAGCTCTTGAACTTGAGTACCTTTGCACTACTGCACCAGAGAAGCCCAGAGGGACTCCAGGGGCATCTGATTCAAGTCCATGTAGTTTCACTTGTAAACCCACTCTGCATTTTCTGTATCTAAAATGGGAGGAGTCCCAGCCGGTGTCTCGGTCCTGCCCTTCAATGTGTTTCCCCATGCTGCCTCCGTGTACCCTCCTTGGAAGAGGTGGGTACCCAAAGATGGTGTTTAAGGGTCTAAAGGGAGGAAGAAAATGTTGACTCAGAGTACAGAATCTCAAAAGAGAGTGAAATCAGCAGAGATGGGTCATTTATTTTGACCAAAGTGATTAAAGGAGAAAAATCTGTGAGCTGAGTGGAGTTATGTCAGCCAGAGAAAATGGGATAGAGAGGAAGCTGTGGAGAGAACAGAGAAGACTCCCATTTATTGTGGGGTCATCTACCTGATAACCGGGAGGCCTGCATGTCTCATGTAAATGGCAGACCAGGGCCAGGGGTGGACTGGAGCAGTGAAGGGATGAAGGTGTGGATATTGGAAGCAGGTCTCAGTTACTACCAAGAGGTGGAAAGGTTTGGTGGGACCAGCCGAGAGGCGAAGGAAGCACCTATAGCCACTGAAAGCAGCTAGATGTGGCCCGGCGCCTGTAGCTCATGGCTAGGGCACTAGCTACATACACTAGAGCTGGGGGGGGGGGGCGGGAGGAGGTTTCCGAATCCAGCTTGGGCCCACCAAACAACAATGACAACTACAACCAAAAAATAGCCAGGTGTTGTGGCAGGTGCCTGTATAGTCCCAGCTACTTGGGAGGCTGAGGCAAGAGAATTGCTTAAGCCCAAGAGTTTGAAGTTGCTGTGAGCTGTGATACCATGGCACTCTACTCAGGGCAGCTTGAAACTCTGTCTCCAAAAAAAGAAAAGAAAAGAAAAAGAAAGCAGCTAGATATATCAGAGCACAGGCATGAACAGTGATATGAAGTGTAGATGGAGTGCCCAGGGCAATCTCACTGCCCCCCAATGCCCCCATCACCCCCATCAGTCTCCTTATTAGAGGTGCACATGTCCCTTGTCAACATGCAATTGATCAGAGCTGACACTTGCCACTGTTACCAGTTCTGAATTCAGTGGACATGCCCACTTTCACAGCCATGCAAGACTAGGAAGTCATCCAACTCTTAAGACAAAGCAGCTGGCAGCAGACACCAGGTGGTCAATCACGCAGCAGGTAGCTGAGTATGCAGCACTGACACATCTTTCAGGCAGGTGGCCCCCAAGGCAAGCCTAGCTGATGCTGAAATGCAGATGTGAGCACCTTGAAAGCTGCTGGCTGGCCACTGGGCCCAGCCTGAGGGTTGACAATTCAGCACGGAGGCAGGGGCTCTGAAAAGAGTGAGAAGTGCCAGGCTTGGAGGGATTGGTCCAAGCAGACAGCCAAGAGCAGAGAGCAAGTGAGGACTGCTGTTCCCAGAGCTGAACCTAGCCCTGTGGCCCCCATACAAGACAAGTGATGGCTTGTATCCATTGTGAGCTCAGAGTATCAGCCTCTCCACTACGGCCTCTGGGCAAGACTGAACTTAAATATGTAATGTGTGCCTGAGCCACCGTGAGAAGGCTGGGAGGAGGCAAGTTAGGAAAGAAATGATTTTAAGAGTCTGGGAGGTTTCAAACCTACCCAAAGGAAGAAGAGGTGAGCTTGAAAGAAACCTAATTATTCCTAAAGGGTGTTACAGACCAGGGAAAGGAGGAAGGAGCCTGGTGAGCTTCATTCCATAATCAGCTCAGCTTCACCGGAACCTTCTGAGCACCTCACAGTGACTCCCTAAGAGCCCTTTCTGCCATCTTCTGCAACTCCTTTACCTGCTTCATAGAGTTTCTCTCTGAGTTAATTCATCCCGCAGCCTGGTGGCTCTGATAGTGTGATATCCAAGGTGACTATCATTTCAGTCTCTGCAAACAGCCAAAAAAGGGGAAAATGGCAGTGTTTGAGAAATAGTCAGATTGGCTCTGACATTCCTGCCAGGTCCCTTGGGACACCCCAGTCTGGCCAGGACAGCAACATTGAGGCCATCCTGGTCCTAGCTGCTGCAGGGCTAAATCCAGCTCAGCTAGTCAGAAAGCTCTGAGTAAGGTTTTAACATCAAAGAATCCATTGCCCTCCTCCATCCTTTTGTACAAAATTATATTTCGTCCTGCCAAAGAGATTTCCAGGCTGCCATAAATTCTCCTTGCTATCAGAGCAAGATAAGGAGTTGAAAAGGGGTTATGTGGAGGGCAGACATCAAAGGGGGAACCTAGTATAGTCTGGAATCACCTCTACCCTCACTGGCTTTTGGATCCTGGTCTCCACCAATTTTTAGAATATTTAGTGATATTCCTGGAGTTTAGAGTTTTCTTAGGGAACCCCACTCCACAGCTAGTCAACATGGATCTGTGCCTTATGCCAGCCTCTTAAAAATAGGACTGCATTGGAAGAATAGTTGAATGTGGAGTGGCTGGGATGCATAGCAAGGATAAATTTATGATGAACCTTAAAAACAAAGAAGTAAAAAACAACAAACAAACAAACAAACCACCTCCCCCACGAAAAACAGAGAAGTAAATACGAGGGCATGAATAGGCCTTGGGAGGTGTCTCTACCTCATGGCATCTGTGGTTTTGTTGCTAAGAAGATTGCAAAGTTTTTGCTTTGAAGAAAATATGTATTTAAAAAATTGGAGCAAAGTGTTTGTGGAGCTGTTAGGAGCATTCAGGGCACTACGGTCTGGGTAAGGGCTGTCCTGAGTAGAATCTTACCAGCCTTCCCTGGAAGGCCAAGTTTCAGAAGGAGGCCTTCAAGAGTCTGCTCTGGTGTTTGATGTAGAAACCTCTTTCCTACTGGGAAAAAATTAGGGATTTGGGGGAGGTGAAGATTAAAATCTCCCAATACAGGGGAGTGAGGCCACTGAGTTCTACAAGAGTAATATGGGGGCTAGTTCTCATGAGATGGGGCCTAAGGATGGACTAAATCAAACTGTGGCCTCAGGGGTGTATGTGCCCTGGAGCTCCCCTAATAAGCTGCAGGGCTCAGATAACCATAGGGCCAGGTGATAGAAAGGGACAGGATGAGGGCAGGAGGAAGGGGAGCATGGGGCCCCAGGCTGTGGGCTAAAAGGAGCCCCACAGAGCAGGAGGTCAGAGACAGCATGTAGGAGGCCTGAGAGCCACAACTCACCACCCGCCTGCCCAGTGCAAGAAGGTAGACGCAGTTGCTGCATCAGAATTGTTCTCAGCACAGGGTGCCAGGAAGACTCTCCCATTCAATCACACGGTCACCCCAATCTGTAAGCTCTACTCCAAACTGCTTCCTCTTGTGACAGACAGGGAGCTGTGGTGCAGAGAATTAAGTGGCTTGTCATTCATCCGGAGTCTGGCCTGCATCTAGAGAGCTCTTGCTCTCCCGGGGAGAAGGAAGTAGGGACGGAAGCAAAAAGGAGAAGTTATCAGGCCGGAATCAGCCCCCACCCGCTTCTAGCACCCTCCTTTCCTCACCAGGCTCTGTGCTGCTCCTGGTCTCACACCCTCCACATCACTCTTTCCCTCTCCTGGTCCCCAGCCCAGATGCTTCATCCGATGGCCCAAGGGACTGAGTCTGAGGGCCAATTGAATGCCATCTTCTTCAGCGTCTGCATATTTCTCCCTCTACTTCTAAATACACTAAAATTCCTTGTTCCCCTCCTGTGTCTCCAGCCCTTCATTTCTTCCCCTAACGACCCTGTGTCAGGTGAAATGAGCCCACCTGTAAAATTACAGAAGTC